TGCTGCAGAAGAGAAACGAGAAGAGCGACTTGCTGCCTGACGAGAAAAACTTGTTTGCCAACGAAGCGAACCCGCCGAACAAAAAGAAGAGGAAGGCTCCAGAAGCAGCAGAAGCAGAAGACCAAGAAATCGTTCGGTTGGACTTGGGAAGTTGGGGCGAGCTGGAAGTGCTTAAGGCCAAGAGAAAGAACCAAGACCTCAGCATCCCTTTGGAAGCAGCATCTTTCGAGATCTTCTTCGGCTTCATGCTCGAACAGGGCATTTCCTTTGATGAGCCGACAAGGACTTACAGGAAGTCCGGCCTGTACAGGAAAGGCTCATCGAAACAAATCGAACTTAAGGCAAGCCCCGAACCCTCGGAAAGCGACCACGGGCCGAATGATGACTAGCTTCCTTGGTGCCCGGCATGTTTTGTAACAGCGACAGCTTTTTGCTTCCGCAAGTTTTCCAAGGAAAGGGCGGCTTCGAAGCTCATTGTTGGAGCTCTTTTAATGCGAGCACATGCTTGCTGCACAGCTTTCCCTTCGTAGAAACCTCGAGCAGCCACGACCTTCTACTTTCCGGAGAAGAAAATATTCTCAGGGTTGCATGAAACATGTGTTTTAATTGTGTGAAATTACCACTGTCATGCATGTGTATGCACGAAGATGAAGAAGCCAGTCGGGCTGCATGTGACATGTTTCATTGTGTTGGAGCAGAAGCCAAGCTGGCTGCATGTTGGTGAAGAGGTCGCTGAATCTTTTTACTCAGCAGCAACCTTGCTCGAAGAGCGCGAGAACCCGTGACCCCAAAAGGCCCTTGTGACTGTGGAAGACTCTAAGCCCCAGAGCCCCACGTGTTGCACAGCTAAAACGTCCTTTCAAGGCACAGAAACAAAGCTTGTCACTGTTCACAGTGTTGGTTGCCGGAAGCAAGCCAATAGCTCGTGGTAGCTACAAGGAAGCCATGGCCGGCTGCTTTTTGTTCAGCAACACGGGCTGTGTTCAGCTAGCCCTGAAGCCTGGTGTGCAGTACGTGACACCAGAAGAGCGACTCGGAGACAAGAAGTGTAGAACTCCAACCCCAAAACCCAAAGCGCTGAACTTTTAAGGCTCAAAAGACTCGTGCCTTAGAGACCCAAACCTTAAAATATTTTAAAACTGAAGCCTTCAATCCCAAAGCTAGGTGTCAAAAACCTAAACCCTCAACCCTAAACCCTTGAACTTAAACCCCAACGTCAAGAACCTATATATAAACCCTCAAGCCTCAACCTTCAAACCCTAAACCCTGAACCCTAAACCTTGTCTGTCTTGATCTGAGACAGTCCAGCCAGGCTGATGTTGATGGACTATAAGGGCAAATACTATGCCACCGGCCGCAGGGAGAACAACTGCAATGTGTGGCAACTGGAGAGCAGGGACCGAGTTGCTTTCCTTTGGTATTCCCAGCAGCACGAGGTGTTCTTCGTGGCAAACGAAGTGGTGCCAGACCGCGACGGCTCCTGGGAGAATGTCACCGTGGTTTGCAGAATAGACTTGCAGCACGGACATGATGGACCCGAAGCTGGTGCAGTGTATGTGCCATGGAATGCCTCTGTGAGCTCCGAGGTGTTCTCCTGCAGCTCTTGGGAGAAGATGCTGGAGCATTTTCGCTGGAATCTCTCCTCACAGGTGGACGAGCTGAGGAACAGCTTGGCGGTGACCCAGCAGAACTTGGACGGCGAAAAAAACGCAGCTTTCACAGCCAAGCAGGAGCTGGCTGCAGCCGAGCAAGCAGCTGCGATGGCTGAAGCAGCTGTGACAGCTGCCAAAGCTGAGTTAGCTTCTTTGAAGCAAGAGCAGCTCCAACAGCAGCAGTGGCAGCAGCGGCAGCAGGCTTGGTCAGCTCCAGCGGCCAACACCGGCTCGGCTGGAAGTGCTGCTGCAGCGGCTGGTGTGCCTCAGCCTCCGGCACCTGTCACCTGGCATCGGCATGACGACTGGTTGAAGAGTGGCTGGATGAACAAGGCTGTGGCTTTGTGTGGTGCTATCCGCACGAAGAATGTGGATCGCCTGGAAGAGCTCGTGCAGAAGCTTCCGGGATGCATGCCAGAAGGTAACCATATGAAGACCAACCCTTCAACCCACAACACTAATTTAAAACAATGGGTTTATCCTAGTTGCGGTTTCAGCTAGAAGCCGCAACAGAAAACCCTAACCCGAAACCCCACACCACCAAGCCCAAAACCCAAACCCCAAACCTTAAACACCAAAACCGAAACCCCCAACCTTAAACACCTGCAGAAACATCGACTGGAAAAGCTTGAAGCCTATATCCACTGCGGTTTAAGGTTTAGGGTTGAAGGTTTAAGTATGAGAATAGAACCACCTAGTCACTCAACCCAGAAAATGAGCGAAATCCTCAAGCCCTTAAATTCAAGCCTCCCAAAACGCTGCAAAAACTGGAATAAGCTCAGGTTCGAGACGTCCAACGACAGCTTCCGGAGAGCCTTAGAGCAACACGTCCACAACCTGAGGACACACGGTTGGGATTGGCATTATAATTATTAGAAAAAGCTCGGAGCTGTTACCACTGTACAACGTTGAGAAGCAATGCCTTCAGTCAGCTTAAAACCCTTAAGCTCACAAGCTTAATCACCAGTAGCAACAACCCTAAACCCTGAAACATTAATTGTAAGCCTTAAATGTCAAGCCCTAAACCCCTAATCCCAGCATTCAGAAAATCATATATAAAGTTATTCGGACAGTATGTGACAGTAGGGTTGGGGGAATAAGATTAAGTACAATGTGACACTCAATTGGCCTAGTCAATTGAGGCGACAGGCATATACACATATATGTATAAACATGTGTTTGTGTGGTTCTCTTGAAAATATATTTATGTATCAAGTGAAAGACATGGGAAAAATCCGCGCTTTCACTGCGGCACTGCAATTTTGACAGAGTCTGTATATGAGCAGGCTTCTGCACCAAAATTTTCTGAGAAAATTTTGGTTCCCAGTTTCCGGCCCCAAAATTTTCTGAGAAAATTTTGGTTCCCAGTTTCCGGCCCCAAAATTTTCCAGGAAAATTTTGGGGCCCATTTTCGTGCGCCGAAATTTTCCTAGAAAATTTGTGGCCAAGGTTTCGGAACCGAAATTTTCTAGGAAAATTTGGGTTCACATTTTGCTATATCCAATTTTTTTGAGAAAATTTTAGTGCTGCAGCTGGATGACCCAAAATTTTAGAAATAAATTTGATGCAACTACTTTGGTATAATGTTTTCCATTGGAATTCTTTCTGGTAGCCAGCCTTGGGGCTGGAGGCTGGGTGTTGGGTGCTGGTGCCAGGGTGTACACATTTCATGACAATGGCTGCATTGTTTTGTTCGGCATAGTCTCCATTGAAGATTTAGTTCAGTGTTGTACTTCCGTTGCTGATTCTGCCACAAATGTGGATACCGTTTGTTTGCAGTTATTGTTTTGCAAATTCTCTGTGTGTGTGTGTGCCCCGTTTGCAATGTTGTTTATCTCTGGTGAATACAAAGTTTATGGAGTGATGAGGTGCGTTTTCATGTGGCAGGGGATTTGGGGGTGGTCAATGGGAGACGGACTGGGTGGTGGGTTGCCAAAGTGGGCTTAAGGGTCTTAGGTATGGAGGACGAGTGAGTGGTTTTCTAGTTAATTACAATTTTTAATTGATGGTGTTGTTTTTATGCCCCGTGGATTGGGTTCCAGTGATGCATTCTTTCCGATTTAGGGTGGTGCCATGAGGTGAAGTGGGACGGAGTGGGTGAAGTACGACGTAGTGAGTTGCTAAAGTGGGCCAGGGATGTGGGGTTTTGCAAGTCGAGCTTCATACAAACATTTTTTACAATTATGCAAAGTTTTGTGTATTTATTTATCTAGCCATGTATCTTTCTATTTGCTTGTCTAGTTGTTTATTTGTCTATGTATATGTACACATTCATACAAACACAAACAATGTCTATATCTATATGCATATGTGTGTATATACATGTATGTGTGTGCATATACATATATACCCATGTTGGTAAGTGATAGGTAGGTATATAGGCAGGCAGGTGGGTAGGTGGGTATGTAACTAAAAAGGTATGTAGGTAGTTAGGTACAAGTAGGTAGGTAGGTAGGTAGGTAGAGGTAGAGGTAAAGGTAGAGGTAGAGGTAGCTTTGAAAAAACGTTGGTAGATATATAGGTAGGTAGAAAGGAAGGAAAGTGGGTAGGTAGGTAGGCAGATATGAAGTTTTCTGTGCTCGGGCTAGGTAATGTAATCATGACATAGTGTACGTAGCTAGGCACAACCGCCCGGGTCACTTATAATGCCAATGCTGCCATGTAGATCAAAAGCCTTCGGGCTGCAACTGTTTTCAGTGCCGGCAAGGCTGCCCAAGGGCTCGGTTTGCAGTGTTGCATGTTATTTCAAAGGACGTACTTTTGGCACAAGTTCCCAGCAGGTGTTTTCTAGAAAACGAAAGAGCTTGGGCCAGGCCTGTGCCCCTGCCTTGCTGAAAAGCCCACGGGCTGTGTCACCGGACAGACTACAGAGCTTTCGTGCGAAATAGACGGAGATGAATCAGAAGCCCGGTGGGCTGCATGTTAGGAGAAGCCCGGTGGGCTGCATGTTAGGAGAAGCCCGGTGGGCTGCATGTTAGGAGAAGCCGGGTGGCTGCATGATAGGAGAAGCCCGGTGGGCTGCATGTTAGGAGAAGCCGGGTGGGCTGCATGATTGGAGAAGCCCGGTGGGCTGCATGATAGGAGAAGCCCGGTGGGCTGCATGTTAGGACAGTCACAAGCCTTTTTTACAGAAGCCTTTTGGGCTGCGTGTTAAGGCACATTCTTGTTTCGTTGTTGTTTTGCATGCTGCGAATCAACAAAAGCCCTGTGGGCTGCATGATGCTGTATCTGACACCACACATACTTTTTGGTTCTTCGAATGCCAACCATGCTCAGAAGCAGTTTGCTTTTTGTTAGCTAGTTGGTTTCAACGGAGACCAAGCAAATCCAAAGGATTTGCGGACAGCCATGGCACAGTCGCAGTGGAGCGTGAAGGATGTCTGCTGTGAGATGCGGGATTGCAAAGCCTTGCTTGAAGCACGGCAGGGAACATCCCCGAGCTCAGAGTTCTTGGCAAGGATCAAAGACACAATCGGCTTCAAGCTTCGCTCCCTGCCGCAGCTCTCAGCTGCTGAAGCTTTGGAGCTGCACAAGGTCTTGGGAGAAGTGGACTTCGGAGAGCCGGTGGCTGCTGCTCTCAGCCAGCAAATCGACGAGAAGCTGCTTCAAACGACGGAGCAGACAACGGTGGTTTCCTTGAAGCAGCAGTCTCTCCCGAACATGCATCTGTTCTTGACTGCCCAAGACTGGGCACTTCTTGAAGGAGATGGTGCAGATTGGTGGGCCAAGCAAAGGTGCATCGTCCAGCGATTGAAGAAGCTTGGTGTAAAGTCTTTGGCTGAGAGCACAGTGCGAAGCTGTGTTTCCATTCTGCTTTCGACTGTGACTGTGCTGCCGCACCCAGACGATCAGCATGCAGCCGTGCTGGAGTTCAAAGGCTGCTTTCACAGTATGGAGAACGTGGATGACCTGCCGTACCTCGTGCGGTTCCCCGAGCAGCCGAGTGGCTTGCCTCCTGCTTTGCTGCAAAGCGCCTACACGGAGGCAGAACCTCCAGTGGCAAAAAGCATTGCAAGGCTGGCTTACATTGCCAAGGCCCTTCCTGTCAGGGATACCCACAGCTCCCTGTCAGCGAATGCGGGCAAGAGCAAGAAGAGGCCGCCAGCTACTCCGCAGCAAAGCCCAGCAGCTTCAACAGCCTTGCCTGTTTCGCCTTCGTGGCAACGGGGCGCCGGTGGCAGCAACTGGGCGGCTTCAGAAGCTTCCAACCCCATGCAAGGCTTCATGGGCATGTGCAATGAAATGGTCAAGTGCATGCAGAGCTTCCAAGCTGTCCAACTGCAGATGAATAGTCGGCAGAATCCTTCTCAGTGCTTCCAGCAGCAGGCCGAGCACTTCCAACCGAAGCCAAAAGAGCTCAAGGCTGGAGTGGCAGCCCCTTCGCAGCTTTCCACCTGCAACGAGTCCGGACAAGGCACTACAGAGAAGCTTCTTGCTTTGCCAGCCCTAGCACCCAGCCCTGCAGAGCCAACAACTGCAGAAGAGGAGGCTCGCGACCCCGAGCCACAAGGAGTTCCTGGGCTGTCGCCAGAAGAACAACTCTTCGAGTCTCTGAAGGCAAAGCAAGCCAAGGCCAAGGCCAAAAGCAAGTGCAGTGCCAAGCCCAAGGCGAAAGGCAAAGTCTTCAAGAGACCACAAGCAGCTCCAAGTGCTTTGGCTGGCGGCTCCAAACTGCCGAAGTACGTCCCAGAAGCTCCTAGCGCTGTGCAGCTCAGTTCTCGAAGAGAGTGCTTTGTGGACAAGCACTACCACAAGGCAAAGAACATCGCCTTGAAGGCTGGTGTTGGCAATGGCAGAGCATATGAGTATGCAAGGACTGCAAGAGCAAAGGCTGCTGAGCTGTGGGACTCTAGCAAGTGTTAGGTTGTGGTACCAAGCAGCATTGAAAACAAATGCAGCTTGCATCGGGTCCAGCAACACATGATCCTCATGTGTTGCTTCAACCAGTGGCTCATCGCCGGGGAAAGTGGGAAAAGCTGGAAACTGTAGCAGTTCCTAAAAGCATGGTATTTGTATTCCACGTGTCTTGTTGAGGAGCCCGCACGGCTCGCACACTTGCACAGATTGCCACCGTTTTGTGATGGAAGTTCTTGCTGATCCATGATCCAGGTGCTCAGCCTTGATTTTACCTGCTGCATCTTTGTCCAACCTCAACATCGCATGCGAAAAAGCAGCTGGCCCAAGCTTTCCAAGTTTAGAAACAAGAGAGCATGCTTGAGGCGCCTAAGTTCTGCCAGCGGTTCAGCCACAGAGCCTTCTATAGATTTGAGCCATATCTTTCGTATGTATCACGACCTGATGCTGCAAAGTTTTGCCCAGACACAACTCTGTGTTAAGTTCTGCTTTGTTGAAGCCTGATGGAGCACAGAGATGCCAAGCTCAGAAGGCTGGAGGCAGTAAAGCGAAGAGTGCCAGCACTTACAGCCTCTGCTTTTGCAGGACTGCTTCAAGAAATAGAAGCCAATGGCTTACCTGGCTTGAAGCAGCGGAAGCACATAAAAGAATGCACTGCGAAGCAGGTGCAGCAGCATGCCGCTTACGGCCCGATGATTCTGAGTGTTTCCACTCCGGGAGCTGGCGGCTCCCAGATTGAGCTTGTCATGACGAACCTATTTTCAATGCTTCAGGCATTTATGATGGAATGCAAGCCATGGCGAGACATGTTGTTGAGCTGCATGGCGGCACACGGCACTTTGACTTTCATGCTATACTCCGACGAAATCAATCCAGGAAACCCCTTAGCCATCGAGCAGAATCGCAAATTTGTTTGCTTCTACGGATCCTTCTTGGAACTGGGACCGATCCTGTTGGCGAAAGAAGCTGCTTGGCTCCCTCTGTGCTGCCAACGGTCTGTACTGGTCAACTCGCTGCCTGGAGGAGTTAGCCAATTGGCTTCATGCATTCTAAAAAGTATCTTCAGAAGCAGTGTTTGCGACCCCATGCACACTGGTGTCGTCCTCAAAGATGCAGAAACAGGACAGCTGCATCGACTCCGCTTTCGTCTTGGATGTTTCCTCCAAGACGGCTTGGCCCACAAGCAGCTTTTCAGCATAAAAGGGGACAATGGCACGAGGTGCTGTATTTTATGCCGTAACATTCTTGCAGCTCGTGCAGGCGACTTGGATGATCTGGAAGATTTTGTGCTTAGCAGCGACGTCTTCAAGGAAGAGCAACTCGTCCAGAATACTGATGCAGACTTCCGCCGGTCAGTCGAGACCATGCAAAGCAAGAAGCTTGAAATGACTGCGAATGATTTCCAGCTTTGGCAGCAAGCCACTGGCATATCGTATCACCCTGAGGGGCTGATCTTTCAAGACAGCTTGAAAGACATAGTCATGCCGATCTCCCAGTGGCTACACGACTGGATGCACTGTTATTTCCAGAAGGGCATCTGGACACCTGGCTTTTTGATTATTAAGTTTCCTGATTTAGATGCCATGACCTTGAACATTATATCTGCAGCACCATGTGACACCGAACTCATTTTGTTCTAAGCTCATTGCAAGCAACACAGTCATAGTTTACCACCGCTGTTGCCAATCACGATTTTTACGATAGCCCCGAGGAATACAGTCATGCATTTGACGATGGCTGCAATAGCTTCAGAGCTGGACGTGGACTTCTATGCCCAGTGTCAGCAGTACTTCCAAGCTTGGACGTTGCCCAAAGCCAGGAGCGAGTCTTTGTGTGGCATGTTCTCTGCCAAACGGAAAGAAGCCAACAAGGCTGCAGGCACTTTCAAGGCCACGGCTTCGGAAGGTCTCAGTTTGTATAGTCTGTTCGGTTTCATGCTGGTGCAAGTGGTGGCGCCGCTGGTGAAGTGCAGCAACGTGATCAAAGCTTACACCGGGCTTGTCAATGTCATTGAACTGATTCAAGCAATACCCCTGGACAAATGCAATGCAGATGAGCTCCGGTATGCCATCAGCTTTTTTTTGGATGCTTGCTTAGCTGCCGGATACCGAGGGTTTTTTCACCCCAAATTCCACTGGCAGCTGCACATGCCGAGCCAACTGGCACGGTTTAAATGCATGCCCAGTTGTTGGGTTCACGAGCGAAAGCACAAAGTCGCAAAGCGGTTCGGAGCTCCCATGGCCAACACAGCAGCATTCGAACGATCATTGTTGCTTGAAGTCATTGGCCACCAGATGGCGGAACTCAAGGAGAACTACGTCTTTGACACTTCTGCCAGATTGGACAAGGCATGCAAAGCATCGCAGAAAATGAAGCAGTTTCTACAAGATTACATGGGGAGGCTTTCGGATGACATCCAAACTTGTGCCCGGGCCCACCTGTCGCCGGCCGGGCAATGCCAAAAAGCTGATGTAGTGCTTCTGAAGCATGGGCTGGTCATTGGCGAAGTTTATTTTCACGCGACCTTCGGCGATCGAGTGCTATCTTTGCTGTCACTGTGGGAAAAGCAGACGTTTGAGGCATGCAAAGGCTGTGGCGTTTTCAAGAAGCAACATGCTCCCATGCTTGTGGACACCGCAGACATAGCTTGTGCTCTGCCTTTCTGCCATTTGAAAGGCGCCATGTACAGAGTCTTCGTTCCCTTGGCATACAGGCGGTAACAGCCATCGATGGCTCGGCTCTTCAAGGAAAACCGCCGTCATCGAGCAGTGACTTTGTGTAAAAAAAAGCCCATGGGCTGCATGCACATGTTTTCGCCTGGTTGGGCACCACTCAGCAGCAGTGCCGCAAGTCAGTTTGTTGTTGAGAAAACTTCCAGGTGTTGAAATGAAATTTCCGTTAATTGAATCGGAAATCTCGACGTTTGTTTTTTCTGTCGGGTGCTGTCCGACTTTGCAGACCTGTCTCGTGTTTGAAGCATCATCGGAATTTTTCCTCGTCGGAACAATTGTTTTCTTGTGTTTTCCCTAGGCTAAGTACTTCCCTGGCTCTTCCTAACTGGTTGCCAACCTTGCTAAATGGTTCTGGTAAGATGTTACATAACCGGTTAGCAGCCACTACACGAAGTACTTACTAACTGCATCTGTAAGCATTTAACAAACCCCATTACTGGTTATTAACTCCCATAACCTATGTAACCAATTACTAACCACGCGGGTCTTCCAAGTAGTGGAGAAAGTAGTCCAGAAACTTTGGGACGGGACCGTCGCTTGTCCATGCAGATTCGACGGCTTCAGCATTTTTTGCACGCGTGTTGCATGTGTACACATAGTCACATACACTACATACACGTTTGTTTACGCATACTCATGCAGCTGTATAGCTTGCGTAGTGTGCTCGGGTGTCCCTGCCCCGATCAAAGGAGAAGTTGGTGTCAAAGGCCGTGACGGCGGTCGGCCGCAAATTGAACTTGACAGGGACGCAGGTTCACACGCCGGCAATGGCTGGGGGCTGAGTCGAGTTGAGACTTGGACGCTGGCCGCGCATTTCTTCCTCTGGACGTTCTGTGGCTAAGTTCACGTACTTTTGCAATCTATCTACTTTGCTGAGAACCTGCAAATGCTTCCACGTCCACGCCTCAGCGTCGTATTTGCACGTGTGCTCTGAACATGGCGAACAGGACTGTAGGCCTAGGCGGCCAAGCTTGCGCATGTCGTGGACCCGTGCAGGTTTTCATGGACGCATCCACAGTGGGGAAGCAGCCAACAGAGCTTGTGTGGCTCTATTCACCAGAACACCAGGTTGGTGGCTGGGCCCCCCCACTGGCTGCGAACTCAGGTGTACTATTATGGTGCGATCGCGCAACACTAACTGGCTTGCTCAGCTGACTGTCTGCGCTCATTTCAACCAGAGGCTCAACTTTTTGTGCCAGCTGATTGCTGGCGTAGGTCCTAGGTTCGGATGGCAGAAGGGCCTGAGAGCGAGTGCTCCATGGAAAGTGGCACAGCATCGGATGCGCCGCCTTGGACCCAGTCTTCAGAAGTGCGGTGTAGCTCATCTCCCGAAGAGGCCGGGGACTGTGCATCATGTTTGCTTGGTATTATAACCCCGGGCCGGCGCTGTTTCGTGCAGGACATGGTCTCGGATGTCCCGCTTGCACAATGTGCTCGCTGCGTGCAGCTTGCGTGGTCGACGATTGTGCGAGTTTGTGGACGTTCTGATTTGCAGGACCCATTAACAATTAATAGGGGTTCATTTAGAGTCGCACCAATTCTACGTCTAGTATAGTTGTTGTTCCAGAGTCCGCCCGGCAGGAATCCATGCTTTCCCGGGTGATCTACACATCCTCCAGTTGTACCGGCGCTTACACTGGTGAGATGGCTTTGGCGGTTATAGAGAAGACAATCAATGAGAGCGGCCAGTTGCGACTGCCAGTGGTGTTTTCTCCAGTGCGCGTTCACGACAGGTACTCAGTCATTGCTGCATGGGTCCGGGCGTTTGGGAAAGAAAGAGAGAGAGAGAGAGAGAGAGAGAGAGAGAGAGAGAGAGAGAGAGAGAGAGAGAGAGAGAGAGAGAGAGAGAGAGAGAGAGAGAGAGAGAGAGAGAGAGAGAGAGAGAGATAGATAGAGAGAGAGAGAGAGAAAAACAAAAAAGGAAGAGAGAGAGAGAGAGAGACACATCCTATTTTGTTTTAGTTTGTCTTACTTTGTCTGATTTTGTCCTAATTTGTCTGATTTTGTCCTAATTTGTCTGATGTTGTCCTAATTTGTCTGATTTTGTCCTAAGTTGTCTTACCGAATTGCAGTCGCTGAGTGACACACAGAGAGACAGAGAGAGACAGACAGAGACAGAGAGAGACAGAGGGCGACAGAGACAGACAGAGAGAGAGACAGAGAGAGAGAGAGAGAGAGAGAGAGAGAGAGAGAGAGAGAGAGAGAGAGAGAGAGAGAGAGAGAGAGAGAGAGAGAGAGAGAGAGAGACAAAGAGACAGAGAGACAGAGTTGCGTGTGTACATACGTGTGTGCGTCTGGATTGCATCCCTGTTTCTGTGACTGTGGTGTTGGTTCCTTGGCGTGCTGGTCTATATTCGCTGACAATGCTCATGTGCTGCCAAGGAGACTTCGAAAAACTGCCATCAGCTGATCACAGATCACGCTCGCTGGTGCGAGGAAGTTGCTGGCCAGCGCCCACTTCCTTGTGTGCATGGTGATTTGACACATATCCTGCCACCCGGCACTGTGAACCCGAAACATAGTTTCGCGCGGAGGCTTCGTGCCATCGACAGGTCCGACTTTTGTGCTGGCCAGTACTGCTATCAGCATGGGAAGGTGTGCTCCATTCTGGGTGACCCTGCAAAGAAGCCGGACTACGATATTAGTGGCTTGCCTTGCCCCGATTTCAGTCGGGCTGGGCAGAAGCGAGGCCGAGAAGGCCAAACAAGTTCAGTTTTTGCATGCCATGCGAAGCTGCACGTGCACTTGGGCACGCCAATGCTTGTTATCGAGAATGTGCAGGACCGGGTCCGTCTGGTTCGTGTCAGTTCGTGCGGTTGAGCCAATGCGAGCCAGGTAGATTGCATTGGTAAACTGAGATGAAATAAGCGTGGACCGGACGGGATCCCTTCTCAAACCCCGAAAACCCTCACGCTGTGAACCCTGAACCGCTAAAGTTCTAAACCCTCAACTGGCCCTTGACCTTCAATTGAAAAAGCTACGGACTTAAATACAAAAGCCCTATGACGTCTAAACCGTCTGAACCCCAAACAAATAGGCAATGTTGTCTCTGTGTGGCCTGCAGGAACTGGACATGCAGATGATCATGTTGCTTTATGGTCGCTACTACGACATCCAGCAGCTTTGGGTAAGCCCGAGTGACCAAGGCCACTCCGCTGTTGCACGAGACAGGACCTATCTCATCCTGGCCAGACGCGGCCTTGTGGAACAGGTGCACGACCCAAGGCTTGTTTATCAGCAGGTCTCGGACAGTATCCGAGCCCGAGTGTCCACCCGTCCGAGGGATTACTTTGTGGCTACACGAAGGCAGGTGCTTCAAGAAGGGCAGCGTGCGGCTATGGTCCGGAAAACGGTCTTCCGCAAGGTGCCCCAGCTCTGTTGTAGTGGAGCCTGCTGTGTCTGGGTATGACGTGCTGTGTTTCCGGCCGCTTTCAAATGTACACTGACTGCTGGCGAGGCGCAGCGCCTGGACTATTTGCTCAATGAACGAGAGAGATCTGCTTTGAGAATGGTGCAGCATCGATACCGCGAAGTTTTCAGGACAAAAGCTGCCCTTGATCCTGATCTTGTGGTGCATTTGGGTGACAACCCCCAGAACCGCTTGACATGGAGTGCACACAGTGGGAGAATCCCTACCTTGAGAAAAGGGTCTGGCAAGATGTACAACCCGTTCTTGAAAAGGTGGATGGTTCCAGTCGAGAAGCTCAGTGCATTGGGGTTTCCGGTGACGAAGGACACCGCCATTGCGATGGGGGTGCCAATGCTGCCCGTGGCAGACTACCTCCGTGCCGCAGCAGTGGCAGGGAACTCGTTTCACTTCTCTAGCGCAGCCGTGGTTCAGCTCGTGGCTTTGTCCTGCTACAGGATACGAGAGTTTACTGCTGAGATGCAGCATCATTGCTGCTAGTAATTGCATTGCATGCCTGCCAAGGATCAGGGACCTTGACGTGCAACCCTGACTAAAAGGAGTAGTGATCGTGTGTTGCCTCGACAGTGCTCTTACTGGCGCCGCCCGGAACTTGAGCAGCATGCTGCCCTTAATGTGTCCTAGGAGAGATCACTGAAGCTTCTGGGCTTTGAGCCGAATGTGATTTGAAATTTGAGCAGTGCTGTCGTTTGCTACATGAAGTCGAAGCAAGCGCGGCCACCTGCTCCGCCTCCACATGGTGGTCGACTACGCGAAAGATCGAGGCCGGCGACACCAGCGCCGCCGCCTCCTTCAAGCCGGCCCCCGCCACCTCGTCGCACGTGCGAGGAGCCTGATGCTGACAGGGTGGCCCCGGCCCACCGCATCCTACCACGTGCCGGTGCCCCTCCACCAGATGAATCCAGCAGCTCAGATGACGATGATCAGACGATGCGACTGGGACTGCGAGACATTGCATTGATGTGAACTGCACTGTGTGCTTTGTGTTGCATGTGTGCAGCTGGAGTGCCTGAGGTTTCCGAATGTGCAGCCGGGCCGCACCCGCCCAGAGAACCAGCTGAGGAACCCGCCCAAGGCCGCAACCAAAGCCACAACGACCAAGCCGGCCCTGAGCCGCAGTCAACAGGGACGCCGCGCCGTGAAGGCGACTGCTTACAAGAGTCAAAGCAAGCTGGCCGATTTTGTGGTGCTCGTCTCAGTCTCTGTCTGTCACAGTCTCATGCCGTCACTACATGTTACATGCGACTCAGACAAAGTCACTTAGGACTCGCACATTTTGGACTGGATGTCAGAGATCGACCCCACGTATCTACACAAGGATACTCTCAAGGACCAGAGTCGAGTTCGCCTGTTCTCCTGTTTGGCTTTCAATGTGGGATGGCTGCCGGAAGACCCTAAACCAGGAAACGATTTCACCAGTGTTGTGGCTGCTGCCAAAGCGCAATACTCGAAAAGAGGCAGCCCGGCCACTTTCACTGGATGGTCCATCAAGGAGCAGCACATGTTCATGAGATGGCAGCTGGACTTGTTCAAGAACGGCTGGCTTCGTCGCGCAGACGTCGGTGGCTTCGCTTGGAAGTTGCCAGAGAAGGGAAAGCACGGCAAGCCTGCCGAACTTCCTGCCGAGGTGGTGGATTTTTGTCGTGACCCCAATTCCGTGTCACGCGAGGGTCGACTGGTTGGGAGTCATGGGAGCTCCAGCCACAACGAGGACCCCTATGGCGGTTTCAAGCTTGTGTCTCGGATTGCAGTAACGAAAAGCACAGCTTCTTCAGTTGGTTGCTTATGCCGCAGAAACTACAGTAATGGTACACGACCACGCAACAGCCCAGGAGGACCGAGACGGGTCGTTTACCTTGTCCCACAAGCCGACCAATCGGGCTGTGCAGTTGCCGAAGCTTCGGAGAAACGAGGAGGAGTACGAGATCTACACGCATGATGGCTTCGTGTGCTTGGCTGGTGGCAGCTTCGAACCATCGTATTGCGAGGATCTGATCATGGAGTTCGATGATGATGGCCAGGGTGAGGCCAACCGGGGCCGGCATCGAGCATTAGTCCCACATGCTGAGGGCCCGGGTGAGTTGTCGCGACAACGTGCATCTAACAAGCCCATGCAGTTCAAGAACCTCCGCGCCAGTGGCCACTCGCCTGCGTTGTGATTGTGATGTAATCAAATTAACAGAACCAAGCCAAGAGCAACAGCACAGCGGCAACAACAGCAACAACGACAATAACAACACTAAAAGAAAACACGCGACACGTACCGTCCCCCCCACTTCCTTCCCCGGGTTCTCCCCCGCAAAGAAAGCCCGACAGGAGAACAACCGCCGCCACCGCCGCACCACGACCAAGAGCAACACCCAAACCAACACCGACACCAAAGCAGCCACCACTACCAACAACAACCACCGCCGCAACAACAACCAAAATCACCACGACCACCTCGACAACGACACCGCCACCAACAACAACAACTTGCTGTTGTTGTGGTTACTTCTCTTGTTGTTGCTGTTGCTGTTGTTGTCGTTGCTGCTGTTGTTGTTGTCGTTGCTGTTTGTGGTGTTGGTGTTGGTGTCGGTGTTGGTTGTGGTGTTGGTGGTGTTGGTTGTGGTGTTGGTGGTGTTGGTTGTGGTGTTGGTGGTGTTGGTGGTGTTGGTGGTGTTGGTGGTGTTGTCGGTGTTGGTAGTGTTGGTGGTGTTGGTGGTGTTGTGGCTGTGGTTGGTGTTGTTGTTGTTGTTGTGGTGGTGGTGGTGGTGGTGGCGGTGGTTGTGGTTGTTGTTGTGGTTGTTGTGGTTGTTGTGGTTGCTGCGGTTGTTGGTGTTGTTGTGGTTGTGGTTGTGGTTGTGGTTGCGGTTGCGGTTGCGGTTGCGGTTAAGGTTGTTGTTGTTGTTGTTGTTGTTGTTGTTGTTGTTGCTGTTGTTTTCTGCTGCTGCTGCTGCTGCTGCTGTTGCTGCTGTTGTGGCTGTTGCGGTTGTGCTTTTGGTTGTGGTTGTTGTGCTTGCTGTTGTTGGTGGTGGTGGGTGCCTTGCTGTGTCTGTTTAGGTGATACAGCTCCTGCTGCTCGTGAGCGCGGCCGCAGAGATCGTGAAGATCGCAATGTCCTACGAGACAAGCAGAAGGAGAAGGAGGAGGACGAGGAGGATGAGAACCTTGCATTAGTGCAGAGATTGCCATCGTTGGAGTCTGATGAGATGGGGTCCTTGTTCGACGAGGAAGAAGCAGATGAAGTTGCATTGAGTGGCCATTCCTCGGAGATGCCAAGGTTGGTGCCCGTAGGGCAGGGAATGACACTTCTCGTGGCACCCCAGGAAGGCAAACAGCTTCTGCTTCCCCAGGGCGAGTGTTGGGCTTTGAATGAAGCGGATGCTGAGGGCCATGAAGCTTTCGTGCTCGAGTGCATCAGCAACCCGGAGAAGTACCCGCGGCGCTTTCATTCCAGCGCGCTGCGAAGCCGGCGTGCCGTGGCCATCGAGGATCGCCATCGACCCCCCAAGAGGAAGATAGGCAAGACTGATGCCAAAGAGGATCCGATGAAAGAGGCAGAGACCCGAGACACAGGCGTGTCGCCGCGTGCCGCCACACCCCGTGGCGTTGCCAAGCTACATTCGGATGCAAGCGAGCGCGGGGCCAGGGCGAAAACCAAGGTCAAGAAGGAGTCTGAGGGTACCCCCGATCGCCACCGTGGTCGCAAGCATAGCGCCCGCTCCCCATCACCGCCACGCTCCGGGAAGTTGCGGAAGATGAAGACCAAGACGCCGGAGAGAAGCAGGACGCGGTCGCGATCCCGGAGTTTTGCCTCCCGGCGTGTTCACCACACACGCCGTGGTCGCAGCCGCTCGGCGACCCCGATGTCGGACAAGGGCGCACGTGGTGCGAAGGCAGCGGCACCAGACCATCATGATGCAGAGCACGCTGCTGGTCATCAGGCCGACACCAACAGGACGGACGATTCGGACATTAACGAGGACGAGCCCAGCAAGGGCAAGTTCAAGGAGGAAGAGGAAGCCGCGCTGGGAGAGCCACCGATTGAGCGTTGAGTTGATGATTTGATCCTTGCGAGACAGTTTTGTCGGCTATCAGTCCTCATCGTGCATTGCAGAACAGACAGAGGAGCCCAGATAACAGCCAAACCCATATTGGTTGGGCCCAAATTGGACCCAAATTGGGCCTTAATTGGGCCTTAATTGGGCCCTATTCCTTAATCGGGCCTTAATCGGGCCCTAATCGGGCCTTAATCGGGCCCTAATCGGGCCCAAGACAGGGCCCGATTAGGGCCCGATTAAGGCCCGATTAAGGCCCGATTAAGGCCCGATTAAGGCCCGATTAAGGCCCGGCCCAATCAGGGCCCAAATAAGGAAAAGGGGCTAGACAGAGCCGAAATACAGCCCAGGCCCACAAAACTGGCCCAAAAAGAAGCCACATAATTCATTAAGCCCCACCACCACAACCACCACCACCACAACCACCACCACAACCACAACCACCAACACAACCACAAGCATCACCAACAACACCACCACCGCCACCGCCACTGCCACCAACAGCACCAACAGCACTAAAATCATCAACAGCAGCACCAGCAGCAACAGCCGCAGCAGCGACATCATCATCAGCAACAGCTGCATCAACCACATCATCATCAACAACAGCAACAACCACAGTCGCCGCATCAACCGCAGCAGCAACAACAGCAACGACACCCCCCACGACAACGACACCCACAACCACAACCACGATCACAACGGCGACGACCCCGACAACAGCCACAACCACAACCACAGCCACGACGAGGACAAGAACAACCACAACAACCACAACAACCACAACAACCACAACAACCACCACAAGCACCACAAGCCCCACAACCACAACAACCACAACAACCACCACCGCAACAACGGCAGCAACGACAACAGTACGGCAACAAGACGGCAACAGCGGCAACAACGGCAACAACAAGAACGGCAATAGCAACAACAAAAGAAAAGACGCGACAAGTATATACGGTGGAGAAGCCGGGTGGAAACGGGAGGTAGGGATCCCTCCCCCCTCCCTTTCCTGGCCACAACCACAACACCTTCCCACCCTCCCACTCCCACCCCCCCCCCAACCCCAACCCCGACACGAGAACAACCGCCACCACCGCCGCAGCCACCACCACGACCAGCAGCAACACCAAAACCAACACCGACACCAACGCCGCCACCACGACCAACAACAACCACCACCGCAACAACAAAAATCACCACGACCACCGCGACAACAGCAGCAGCAACGACAACAACAACAACAACGACAGCGACAACAACAACAACAACAACAACAACAACAACAACAACAACAACAACAACAACAACAACAACCACGACACCACCAACGACACCACCACCACCACCACCGCCGCCGCTACCACCACCACCACCACAACAACAACAACAGCACTAGCAACAACAACAACAACAACAACAACAACAACAACAACAACAACAACAACAACAACAACAACAACAACAACAACAACAGCAGCAACAGCAGCAGCAACAACAACAACAACAACAACAACAACAACAACAACAACAACAACAACAACAACAGCAGCAACAGCAGCAGCAACAACAACAACAACAACAACAACAACAACAACAGCAATAACACAAGCAACACCAACATAAACAACAGCGACAACAGGAACAACGGCAACAACGGAAACAACTGCGACAACGGCAACAACGGTAACACCAGCAACAACGGCAATAGCAACAACAAAAGACAACACGCGACAAATACCGATCCCCCCTCTTCAATCCCCCCACCCCCAACACCGATGGGATACTTTTTTCATGGTAGCATGGAGCCTTTGGACTGCCCCACCCATTCCCCTCGTCCCAGCTGCGGGCCCAGGTGCCAACCAACACCCCCCCCACCCCCCCCCACCACCTTTCCAGGCCCAACCCTCCCCCGTTCCGCCCCCAAGATTCTACCACGACCTTGAACATTCGTGGCAAAGTGGATTTTGTGGGGTATTCCTGCCTCGGAAGCACCCAATGATCAACAACAACCACCTGTCCGGATTCACCAGGGTCGGTTTTCAAGTGTAGAAAAATCACGAGCACTGTCCCCTCCCGCCGTCGGAAGCACACAAAACAATCGCAACCACAACAACCACCGCAACAACACCAACAGCAACAACAACAGCAGCAGCAACAACAACAACAACAGCACCACCACCACCAATGATCAATGCCAATGCCAATGTTAATGCCAATGCTAACAACAGCAACAACAACACCACCAGCAACGACAAGGCACAATGTATTGTGGCAATGCAACGGCAAGCACCAACTCCAACAACAAGAGCCACAACTACGACGACAACAGCCACCAAGTGCCACCCGCCATTGCCGCCAGCGCCCGCCCATCTCCAACCATACACCACCTGCATCCCAATACTCACACTCACCACCCACCACCCAGCAACCGCCACTACTACCACCCACACACGTGGCCGATGTTTTTGTTATGGGTGATGCTGCCTTTGTTTCCTTTTGGCACAGCCCCAGCTCCACCCACCACCCACGACCCACCAAGCCAAGACCCATCGCCCACCACCACCGCAGCAGCAGCCGCCGCCGCCACCGCCACACCACGACCACTACCACCATTTCCGTCTCACCATCCACCACGACCAAGACCACCCAGCAACAGCACGCACGGCCACCACCGCCGACTGCATCTGTCTCTCTGTCTTTCTGTCTCTTTGTCTCTTTGTCTCTCTCTCTCTCTCTCTCTCTGTCTCTCTCTGTCTCTCTCTGTCTCTCTCTGTCTCTCTCTGTCGCTCTCTGTCTCTCTCTGTCTCTCTCTGTCTCTCTCTGTCTCTGTCTGTCTCTCTCTGTCTCTCTCTGTCTCTCTGTGTGTCTCTCTGTGTGTCTCTCTCTCTATCTCTCTCTCTCTCTCTCTCTCTCTCTCTCTCTCTCTCTCTCTCTCTCTCTCTCTCTCTCTCTCTCTCTCTCTCTCTCTCTCTCTCTCTCTCTCTCTCTCTCTCTCTCCGCTCGCACAGTCTCAGACAGGTTGCCGATAGAGAGATGGTGCAGAGAGGGGAAGAGACAGACGCAGACTATGACTACATGACTACAGACTACAGAATGGTTTCGACAGGGTACATGAGGACTGAGCAAGCCGAGCCAGAAATGCGCTGGCCACGTGAATCTGCATGCAAGTCTGATGGGCTACATGACATGTGTTCGCATACATACGTATTCTCAGAAGACTCTAGCAATATTGTGGTCCGAGCGGCTTGCTAGCCGCTTCAAAGCTGGAAGTTTTCTATATGTATATATATATATACACTTTATCCCTATCATGTCGCTCTCTTGGAGTCGTGTGCCGGACAGACTATGCAGGACGCACGGTGCTGTGGGATCTGGGAGGGTTTTGCATTCCACAGTTTGCCATGCACAACAGCTAGCATCTAGGCTATCGAGGCTTGCTGTGAATCAAGACTGCCATTGCACTCGTGCAACGACGCTGGGTTTCGTTTTCACACCTTGCGCGCATGTGCACTGCGGCCACGAGCCAAAAATGGACGAAACCGCTCTGCCGAACTGTACTGATGTTGTCGCAGTGAAGATTCAGCTTTGCTTTTGCGCGGAGACTCAGATGCACTTCTTGCAGCGTTTTTTCGGCAGTAGCAGCAGAGTCTTAGGTTCCAGTTGCTGGCCGTTAATCATGCAGTCTTCACCGCCTGCGCGTGCATCGGCTCAGATTACTCCCGACCGACCGACTCAGCTTACAACGCCTGACAGACCCAAGAAGATGCGTGCAGCAAACGTCTACATCGGCACGGGCTCGCTAGACACCCCGAGCTTGGACAAGAAACCAGTCGACATCACCCCGATCCAGAAAAAAAGCAAGCGAAGACGTTTGAGTTCTTCGAGCCCGAAACCTGGCGACAAGAGCAACCAGGGCAAGAAGACGAAGACGAAGCAAGCAGCGGAGAATGCGAAGTGATGCCGGTACAGTGGCATTGCTGGAGATGTGGGTTTTTTAAAGAGAGTAGAGGATTATCTGCGTGCTGGTGGCCCAGAAAGAAAAAGCAGTGCTCCGCAGAAAGTGGTTCCCAAAAGCATGAGCACACCGAAGTTGGCAATCGTCCCAGGTCCTGCCCAAGACGGTTTCCGATGCACGCCGAGTCAAGGACGTGTTCAGGCGGGAGTGCGTCCAGATCGCTAGATAAGAGCGTCGATTTGATTTTGCTGTGGCTCCCGTTTGCAAGTTTGCAAGGCCCGAAATCTCCGGCAGAGGCGCAAATTGCTTCTTTGCCGGGCACTGAGGCAGTCCCGATCAGAGCTCAGCCAAGCACAAGCACGGCCTGCATGCCACCATGAATGACCTCTGGAAGCTCAGGTGACTCTGAAAGCTCTTCACCACACGTTTCTTCTTCTTATTTCCACGTTTGAAAACGCATGCATGTTCAATCAAGTCAAGGGTTGCAGAGTTGAGCTTCGTAATGACAATCACCGATGCACTCACAGACTGCTGCAAACACTCGCTCCCTTCATTTTGAAACTCGATGCGGGCATTGGGGTAGCAGTCGCATAGAACGATCGGCTACCCAGAGGAGCACACAATGGCATCCATCTTGAATAGCACGATCACGTGTGACACTGGGGTGTGGGCGGGCGGGACAAAATCCACACATTGGTGGAAATGCTTAAAGGTGGCCCACCCAACCCTCCTCTGAGAGATAATGTTTCGGCGCATCACAAGTTCGCAACGAGACGTGACAGCGACCGAAAAAGAAGCATGCTTGGTTTCAAAGAAAACTTTAAAACCATTTCAAAACGTAAATAAGGGTTTCGTCCCTCCGGGACCACAACCTTATTTCCACGTTTGAAAACGCATGCATGTTCAATCAAGTCAAGGGTTGCAGAGTTGAGCTTCGTAATGACAATCACCGATGCACTCACAGACTGCTGCAAACACTCGCTCCCTTCATTTTGAAACTCGATGCGGGCATTGGGGTAGCAGTCGCATAGAACGATCGGCTACCCAGAGGAGCACACAATGGCATCCATCTTGAATAGCACGATCACGTGTGACACTGCACCACCACCCGACTCGCAGCAGAGTCAAAGCGGGAACGGGCCCGACACTTGCACACGAGTGGCTCCCAAAGAAACCAACTGTGCACAATCGCCGCGACTAGGTGCGTCTGCGATGTTTGAATGGGTTGGCACACGACCAAACCATATCCGCAACCTGGAAGCCTCTTCAAAGTCCAAACATCCATTGAGGATGCGCGCACCTGCAGCTGTTCCGGATTTGCATGCAACGAAAGCTCCACGAGCAGCTTCGTTATCAAGATACATCACCGTGTATGAGTTGCTCAACAAATGCGACCAGGCAGAAAGAGCTGCCCACACGGCTAGCATCTCGATCTCGTAGATAGGATGCTTCGATGCTGACCGGAGTTTCTCAACTGACGAGGCAGGCAAGTTCAAGCTGAAATATGACAACGCCTTTCCAGAAGAATCGAACAGTGCTCCTCCGAGTCCGGCGGTCGAGCCTTCCAGACTTCCGTCGGTAAAAATCAAGAAAGTTCGGCCGACTTGTCGAGTGAGCTTCACGGGCTCAGCATGCAACGCAACATCCTTCAAGTAGACCAATGCTTCTCTTAGCTCTGGGTCAAGCTTCGTTGAACTTCCAAGGCCCTTTGCACGTCTGCTCAAAACCTGTAGAGCAAGGCACGACCTGCGTCCAAACAAGAAAGAAGCAAACCAGTGGAGCTTGCCTCTTAGTCGATCGGCTTCGGGCTGACTCAAGCAATCACTATCCAATACACTTTGGAGACTGGCACTGAGGGATGCAATTCTCTCAGGCGTGTGTTTGAGAGTGACCTCCCCCGAGCAAAAATTTTCAAGGTCCACCAAAATCCCTAATGCTTTAAAAGTCTTTGCGAAAGGAACAGCTTTGCGACCTTCACAAGCGTACAGGATTCCCAGCAGACCGAAGAAACGATCTACGATCCTGTCGACGTGGGCATGCGCAGATGCTTTGCAGAGACAAGGGTAATCGTCAAAGTAATTAACCCAAGCCAACCGCAAAGCACGACAGCCTAGAAACCAGGATGCAGCTGACGTTCGGAGGAAGCCAGCCACTGATCCAGTGGCGCCGAACGGTAGAGAGTTGACACCATAGAGGCGCACAGCGCCAGTGTCTGTGTCGCGAGCTCCAATCCGCATAATGGCCCTATCCTCGCTGTGCACTGCATACTGCTTGTATGCAGCTGTCAAGTCGAACGTGCGCCCCAAAATCGGGGTAATGAGGGACCTGGCGTCCTTCATAGCACGCACGATCAATGCGCACAAGAATTCAATGCCATGAAGTCGGAAGCGCTCAGGAAGGCCAATGGTCTGGTTGTAACCCGAAGATTTGCAATTATCGATCACCCTAACTTTGTCGGTCTGTCTCAAGCCAAAGCGTCTGGCAATCAAGACACCACCTATTCCAAGGCACGCGGAGAAGTCCTTAGTGCAACCACCCGATTGGGCGGTCCGAGCAGTACAACGGGCTGCGCAGCAAGGCACTTCGAATATCCAACCTCGGTCAACCTCGGCTTGTGTTTCTTCCCAGGCACGTTGTGTGACATCATCAAGCGGTTGCGAACGAAGCTTTGCCAATGTCGCCAAATTCCGGGGTCTGGCTGAGGCCAACTGTCTCTTCATGGTGGTGGCTGGAGGCCTAGCCTCAACCGGATAAACGCCTGTTCGGAAAACCCAACCGGACAACCGAAAACCCTCTCTCATGTGGTCAACCACTTTGACGTCAGGGTAATCATATTCCTGCAAGAGTTGCTTCAGAAGTTCAGTGTTTTTACCTTTCAGGACTTCCTGCACGTGGGGAGGCCAAGACAAGCGAGCCTCATCTTCAACTGATTTCGTTCGTTTGGAGAGAGTCTCCCACTCAAGCAAGCGGTCCAGGGACTCGTCACAAGGCACGTCACCCAACAAGTTTTCAACTAGCAAATCAAGACTTGGCACATCCTGATCTAGAAAACATTTTGGGTGCCCAGCTTTCGAGGCCTCGGAAAGGAAGTCCAAGGGTTCACGGGGAATGCCAATCCATGCGACTTCGACAGTCTGATCTGGCAACAAGGAAGCTTTTGCCCCGCAAACCTGCACTCCATCGGAAACCACAGACCCTGAACCAATCCGCCAATCCTGAAGGAAAGACCCAGGCAAAGGTGACGAAGTGGAAGGCACGTGGCAAACCTTAATATCCGCCCCCTTGCAAAGTTTGCGACGGACAATGCGAGCACCTTTGGGGTACAAAGCCAGGATACGAGATCTATCGGCGTCGAGCTCGGGCGCCACACTCCAAGCGTCATAATCGCGAAACTCCGAGACTAAAGCCCTCTTCCGGCGGCCTTGTCGATCCAAGGCCAACCGCAACAAGCTGGAATGAGGCCCGTACAAAGAGGCAGAGGTAGAAGCCCCGGCAGACAATTGAGACAACTGGTCACAAAGGCGGTGACATAGGAGCCAAGGGTAGGCTCCTCTCTCAGACGGATGCAAGGCAGCATCTGAAGCATGCTTATGTGAACCAGAGCACTGGATGGCCAACGGCCCAAAGAGGTCAAGAGTACTGGACAGGCGAACCCTTCGATTTTGGTGACCTCCATGCATGCACAAGTCGAAACTCACATCTCGGAATCGCGAGCTGAACACAGGGGCCATCTGGGCTGACGTCCAAAGTCCTGATCTCGCAGGGTTTTCAAAGGAAATGTGCAAGCCGAGTTGCAAGGCATGGTCCGTAAGCCGTCGCAGAGCCTGGCATAAGCAGACCATATCTTCACCTGACAGACTGAACGGCGGAGACAAATGAAGAAGCGTGATGCGATCAACTTGTTCCGAAAGAATGCCACATAAGAGATCGACGTCCTCGGAACTACGAAAGTCCCACGGCTGAACCGGAAATTGGGCTCTAGTGCCGCTTTTGTCGAAGGCCAGGACGTCGAAGCCGCTCTTCTGCAAGGTCTGGGCGAATCGCGCGGGGCCGGCGAACACTTGCAACACCAACCCTTTATCACCTGCCACGGCAGATGTTGTCTTAAGGTCAAGGCAAGGCTTACAACCGGGACCTACAACAGGCAAGGAAGGGTTTAAACCTCTAATTAGTTGGAGATCGGCAGCGGGCAACTTCTCGAGGCCACGCACAGAATAAACGACGAGGACCAACCTGGGACCATCGGTCCAGTCACATGTCTCGTGATCCAGGGTGGGATCGAAAGTGACTGGTTTGGTGGCCACATCAAGCAGGATTGCTCCATGGTCAGTATGAACTTTGATGTGCCCACCTGAGAAACGACTCAGTGCTGCAACTCCATTTTCCGAACCGACCAAATTGCCGCTGTCGGAGTGCAATGAAGTTTGGACATTGAAGAACAAGCTGGCAGTCGTGAAAGATAAACCGGGAAACAAGCGAGCTGCTAAGCTGAAGAGAAGCTTCGACGTAGCCGGGTGGCTAGTACAATGCTTCCTCAATCCAGACAAAGGACCTTGCCCGTAAACACCTGTCGTGAAGGATTTCTCTGAACGAGCAAGTCCAGAGCCTCTGGCCAATCTTTCCGATGGCAAGAGATCCATTAACTCGAGAAGTTGAGCGTCCGTGCACTCCCCGGCCGCCAAAATTCGGCGCGCCAGAGTTTCGGCAGGGCAGTCGTTATTACTCTCGAGAGTGGTGCAGGGCTCGAAAGTGAAATGCATTGGGCTGCCAACTTGTTCCGAGGTTGACCCGGAGCCGCCGAGGCCGGCATCAACGGGATCAACACCAGACTTCTGGAAGCTTTCGGAATAGCACCCGGTGGCGGGCTCGCCAACGCGGGATGCATCTGATTTGGGGTTGCGGCAACGGCCTGAATCCCTTGAGGACTGACCCGTGCCGACATCGTGATTGTCGTATTCATGAAAGGCATCTGGATCATTGCAAATTAAGTCTGGGCTCGTGGATATTACCACGTGCCGGGACGCGCATGCAGATCTACTTCGTTCCCTTGACCCATGACCTAGTCACGAGTCTTGTGGCGGATCAGGCTTCTGAGTGTGCCCTTTGCCGCCTTTCTTTCCTTTCCCAGCACCTTTGCCACCTTTTCCAGCGTGCCAACACTGGTGATGGCCATGACCAGGCTTCCTGCACGTCATACATATGTGCACTCCTTTCTGGCAAGCTGGCGGGGATCCCTGAGCGGACAAGGTGCACTGCCCTAGATTGAAACCCCAACAAGCGCGACGACCAGAATGATCAGTCTGATACGGGCACATGCGCAATTCGGCAGGCATGGTTGCGGTCTTCACTGGTGCCAAGAGACCTCTTTTCTTTTCCAAGGTCCTGCGTTTCTTAGCAGCTGCTGCTTCGTCATGGCTTGCACCATCATCTGCAACCTGTGCTACTCCGACTGCCTTGTTTCCCCCACGTAAAGGAAGGAGATGCATCGTCACCCTGATATCGTGTTTCAACTTGTTCAGAGCAATGTCGGCCTCCATCGTCCCGTCGGATGCAACCTTGACCCTTCGAACTTCCTTGGAGATCAGGAGGAATAGTTCGCTGTCAGCCTTCAAGAGTTGGTCAACACTCACTTTTGCATAACCTGGGGGAACGTCCCGTGCAAGGGACTGCATCAAGTAAGCAACCCAGCGCTCGTGGGCTTCCCAACTTATGATCTGGTTCATGTCAAGTGCTAGTCCTCGTCTCTGAAGACACCACTGCATCTGAAGGGGAGTGCCACAATCAGCAGACTGAGACGATGGGGCCGCTGCCAATGTGACTCCTTGCTCTGCAGCCACAAGAAACTTTGATCGCTCCTTAACACCGGCTCTCAATTCTTGATCCCGCTTCGTGCACTTGGAAGGTGGCAACCAAACAATGTGATTTTGTTCAACCATGTGCGCGCATGCATCAATCAAAGAAAAAGATGGTTCCATTTCTTCTTCAAGAACCATGCCCCTCAATCTTCTCTTCTGATCCTCGATGCGAGCCTGTTTCTCTGCTATTGGCAATTTCTTCACTGCTTCCGACGGGTCGGCTGTTGCTTGCTGCTTGAGCTGCGCCACGACCAAAGTGACTGCTTCGAAGTGCAACCTCCTCAACTGGGCGGCGGTGCCCAAAGGCACCTCACCGCCACTAACTCGCCTTGCGAAGGCTGTGAATTCATCTTCAGTGGGTGGCGCCTGAGGAGTTCCACACGAGAAAGCTAAACTCGAGAAGCACTTGATTCCTGCTCTTTCCAAGGAGTTGAATAATGCAACGTCCCCACAAACGTCTTTGCAGCGACTCTTGAACTCTGCTTCAGAATCAATCAGTGACATGGCAGAAGCTACAGCCGCGGACTACGTGACACAACTCACCATGAAATGTGAATCTCGTGTTCCATGACAAGTCCTGTAATGTGCTTGGTTGTCAGGCCTCAGTAACCAATAAAATTCTACCAGCATCAGCAGCGGTCCTGAGCACACCTGCAACACAAGTCGTACAAACTCGAAGTTGGTGACTACAACGCCTCACAACACTCACTGCCACGTCCTGACACACAGCAACAATCAATACAAGACTCACAACGACTTCACCGCTCAATGTTTCCTCTTTGTCGCGAGCCCATGTCGAAGCCCTAATTTCCCAGAGCTCTGTAGCTCCTGGTGCAGTTTCCACACACTGGGGTGTCCCACCTGATGTGCGTGGGATCCTTGAGGCAATCAGTGACCTTCCTTCCACACAGCACTACGTTGTGGTAGCCATCTTTGATGTAATGCAGCATCCGAGACTTTGGGCTCGTGTGTTGCAAAAATCGAAACCCCTCCGGCGGCGTTGGCAACTGAAGGACGCGAGCGGGCCTTGGGGCAGATCCACTATCTTCGGAACTAGAACTCGAATCGGAGTCTGAACTGGTTGTTCCTTCGACGGAATCTGATGCGGAACCACTGCCCTCATCAGAGGCCCCAGAGGCCTGATCTGATTGGTCCTGCACTTCCCTCGACTGCTCGCTGGCCTCAGCGGCAGAAGGTGATGGCAGGTCTGAACTCATGATAGAAAAGACCTCGTTTTTCGGGACGCGTGGCAAGGGCCCGGCTGTGGTAGCGGGGCCGACTGGCTGAGAAGCTTCCAAGTGACCCAGTTCTTTTCCCAACTCCGAAGAAGCATGCCCTTGCAACAACCGACCTGCCCTGCTTGCATCAGGAGAGAAGATTCCTTGGGATATCTCATGGATGACTCCTTGCAGGAGCCGCAAGGGCCTGGCCATTGCGTCCCTGGCATAAGTGTCTGCACTCTTGGCACCATGCGAGTGCCCGCCTAAAGCCAACCTGTCCAAGTGACTCATTCCCCTTTTGGCACAATAGCTCAAGAAAGTGGCTTTCAATGAATGAGAAGTGGTGCGAAGCTCCCCGCGGTCGCTTAACAGAACACGCAACCAAGCTCCGGCCTCATCACTGTCAAGAGCCCTGACAGTGGGCTCACCCAAATGATTGGGTGCTGGCATGACGGGATGACCTGAACTCCAATTGCAACCGACTGCTTCACGGGCAGCTAGCCAGCAGGACACCCAGTCTCCTTGAATGATACCTTGCGCAGGTGCAATTATCTCCAAGGACCTAGGCAAGGGCCCTTGCAGATTCATTGTTTTGTGCACGACAATGACGCCTCCTACGAAGGCAACAGGAGATCCTGGAAGGTCCGAGTAGTCAAGTTCGAGCCCGTCTAAATGCTGCATGTCAGACCATCGGCATCGGCCATATGCGCAGAACAATGCTGAGCCTGCGAAGCAACGATTCCACACGTCACCATCCTCCATAAGCACATAATGGAGTTTCTTGACATCAGACACTCTCAAGGGTTCAGCCTGTCGCACTGGTGCAGCCGCGCGGGCCACGGTGACACCCCAACATCTCTTACTTATGCAAGTAACCTCGAGGAAATCGAGCCCGAAGACAAACCTCACAAAGGTACAGCTCTCCATGAAGCCTCGGAGCTGGGAGAGAGGGGCGCCGCCTGCTTTTGCGTCATGAAGGATGTTGTACAATTCTGATTCCTCCAAAGGCATGCGCACACTGGCACGAGTAGCAATCTTGGTGAGTTTGATCAAAGAGTTTGCACGCTTCAACGACGTGGATGGTGCCTTTCGTGCAAGGCAATCAGCCACAATGCGCCTTTGTACTAACTCGCCTTGACCCACAAGATCGGCAAGGAAGGGGTCCTTCTCGCAATCCCAAGAACCGAACAAAACAACCCACTTGATAATCGAAGTCTCGAATGCAGCCTCGCGCGCATCCTTCCACGAGATGACCTGCCTGTTGATAACAACCTTCTGGAAGGTGTTACTGAAACCAACTTTGGCTTTCTTGTTAGGTGCGGGGCCGACAGACTTCACGGTACTCTGCGGAGGCAAAGCAAATGGGTCAGGCCTGCGATCACGGAAATTTGGAAGCACACTTTCAGGCACAACCTTCGGACTAAAGAAATCAGACCAGAACCCTTCTTCCCAAAAGAACTTCGGCTCAGCATCTCGGAGACTCAAGTTTGCTGCACGCAAGTGGCTTACGAAACCTGCGGAATCAAGTGGCTGATGCTGTTGCGCCTCGAGGGATCCCCGTGCTGGTTCAGAAAGCTCACCAACACTCTCAGTGTCAACATGACCACAAGCGGCTTGTGAAGAGCCCGAGGCAAGATCAAATGACACGTCCTCAGTCCCCGGAAAAGAAACTTCGGATCTCCTCGAGGCCTCAATGGGGTCTGCACGTGGCCCACTGCTGTTTGCAAGCAAGAGATCAAAGGATTGATCACCGGATCCGTTGCTAGGCAGAGCCCAGCTTTCAAAGGGACTTGGTTCAGACCCCCAATCGATCTCAGAGCCTAGCAGACTCTCACCTGCAGCACTTGTCCTATCAGTGCCGTCCTGCATGGCGGCAACTACCAAGGCTGCCCGGCTACTAGACTACCCACCCCCAAGGACAAAATCCACACATTGGTGGAAATGCTTAAAGGTGGCCCACCCAACCCTCCTCTGAGAGATAATGTTTCGGCGCATCACAAGTTCGCAACGAGACGTGACAGCGACCGAAAAAGAAGCATGCTTGGTTTCAAAGAAAACTTTAAAACCATTTCAAAACGTAAATAAGGGTTTCGTCCCTCCGGGACCACAACCTCACAGGGAAAGGTCTTGATTTCTTCATTCCGAAATGGGCCCGGCCGTCCAGAGACTTGTTCAAGGGCGAAAACATGATGAAAGCTGAGCTGGGATCCATAGACGAGATGGGCTTGCTGCGCTTTGAATCTCGGCAGCCGAACCCGTCTCTATGTCTGTGTGTGTGTGTGTGTGTGTCTGCGTGTGGCTTGCTGCTGCGTCGGCTGCGGCATGTGGGCGCATGATTGCTTCATGTGCCTGAGGTGGCAGACGAAGAAGGCGTGCAGAACAAGTGTTTTCACTTCTTGCACAGCTACATAGGCATTCGAGGAGCGATTTGCCCGGAGATTTCACATCCCAAGTGGAACTGCTGGAAGCGAGCCGTGAAACATTCTGGCATGAATTACGATGTCATGCGCTTGACCATTGCGGCCAACTACGGCCACGGCACAAAGCTCACAGGCGAGCGTGTCTCGATGCGACGAGAGTACTTGGAGACGTGGCTACTAAAACAGGATGAGGAATACTTCGAAGAGATTTCAGAAGAAATCAACCACGACCGTGGGCAAAGAGGAATGACCAGCGACGCCGTGCAAGCCTCGGTCACAGATTTCTTGGAATCGCCCCTGATAAAACGACGTGCGCACTACGTGCCCTGTTGGCAACAAATCAGGGGTTGCATGAAATCATTCTGCATGTTGAGAAAGTCATGACAGTCTGTTGTTTGGGCGGTTGTTGCGTGATCCAAGGCCAAGAACAAGAGTTGGTTCGGCTGCTTGACCTGTTTCAAGATGCTCCTACGTGACTGGACAGTGTTGCGTGAAGCTGCTCGGGCGGTGGTGGTCGAGTCTAACGGTTTGGTGCCTTGTCTATAGAGAGGGATGGGATGGGATGGCTTGGGCGGCGAGTAAGTGGGATTTGTATGAAGTTATGAAGTCATGAGGATGTTGCGAAGCGTCGTAGAGTTTGCGATTCATGTTGTGGTCACAATTGAATAGTGTTCCAAGCTTGTTCGAGGCAGACGAAGAGGAGCTGCACAGGCAAGGGGAGGCTGCGAGTGACGACGGAGACGGCAACGCCGGAGAAGACGATGGTGCAGCAAGCGAAGCGCCAGCTGCACAGGAGAAGCAGACCAAGTCAGATTTTTACGCTGCCTACAAGAAGAAGGGCCCCCACCAAATGCAATTGGACATCCTGTCTGATGACCGCCTGCGTTGCAGTGCGGAGATCCTGTGCCGGGTTACCAGGCCATTGCACAAGCGCTACCAATTTGATCTGCAAGCGCAGAAAGAGGGATTGGAAAAGACTTTGCAATGGAACGCGGAGCGCTGTGTTGGAAGCAGTTTGGAAGCCACCAACGAGATCCTAGTAAGCACCGCGAGCCCCGCATTGTACGCGGCCATGAAGATGACGCCCCACTGCAGCCCCTGTGCCACACCCGATATGTTGCCGGATGAAATGGAGCTAGCGAAACAAGCTTTCACTTTTGCATCACATTTGGCTGGCAACTTTGCGTGGTCGGAACTGCTGCACCAGTTTACGTTGCCACTGGCTGCTGGCTCCTTGCTGCTGGCGGATGAAGAAAAGGGCCAAAGAGCTCTTCGCAGAATCGGCGCTCTCATTGACGCCGTGGTCAAAGCTGAAGACATGATGAAGACAAAACCTGGATTGGCGCAGCTGTTGCAAGACTTGGCTTTTCAAGAAGAGAGCCTCGCGCGAGAGGTCATGATCCGCTTGCGAAAAGCACAGTACAAGCTTGATCACCCTGAAGCTCAAACCGTGGTTCGACTCATGCGCAGCTTTTTCGGGGGCAGCAGTTCCACCAAAGAGATTTTGGAATCGTGTTTCGGTCATCTAGCAGATGTAATCAGCAGGTCCAACAAGAACAAGCGCACGAGCAAGCTGGGGACGTGGCTGTATTGTACCAGCTCGGGTTTCATCGAATCCTCAGGAATGAAGCAGCTTTTGCCAGGGCCATCTGATTGGATGAAATGGCTTCCGAGGTACGGGAACGCCAAAGACGAGTGGATGCAGACATTCAACAAGGCGTTCAACATTGCTGGTACTGCCCTCCCCGAAGCGGAGGACATGGAGTTTCCCAAGACACCGGAAGGTGTAGTGAAAACAAAGTGGAGGCTGGCGGGACCTCTATCTCACTACAAGAGCGCGGCTGCCGCGTGCTACCTCCTCAAAGATTCAGACTCTGGGTTTCGGAACCTGACAATGGCTTGGGCAAGCCGTGACCTCAGTCTAGTTTAGTCTCCGTTGGAGCCCACTACCAACATCGTTGTAGCAGCGGTATGAACGCGGCGATGCAGGTGCATTGCTCTTCAAGGGGGCCATTTTTTGGGAGCGCTCCAAAGACGTTTTCATGCTCTCGCTGGGCTTCGTCGGATGGTGCGCGCTTGGCGTACGGTTGCAGCGGCACAAGGTTGGCCAGCAGGACTCCGTAGGGGAGGGGGCAGTGAGGTGATCCAATATGTTTCAGCAAAATACTCCTGATCTTGCATTTTGATTTCTTAGCAAGCAGATGTAACCGGGTAGGTGTTTTTGAGAAAGGTAAGCGTATTATTACAGATATTGTATTGTGAGCGTGCATGCCCTCAGGAGTTCTTATCCGTTGACCCCAATCACAAAGGCGTGGAGATGCTGTTCAATTTCACAGTGACCGAAAACTCAGCATGGATGTTCGTCGTTCATGAGGTTCTCCCACCAGCTTGTGTTCCAGACTCCTTGCACCACTGTGGGTCGTGCATACATGTGAAGTCAAAGGAATGGATCCTGCGTGCGGCACTTCTTCGCCAGCAAACGATCAAGTTCAACAGAAATCAACTGGTCCACATGTGTACCTCTTTGCGGGTGGCTTTGCCAGAGGCCAGACAGGGCTCCGGAAAAAAAGGAGGTCGGATCAATATTGATTACGTTCGTGCACTTGTGCGGCATCTTTTGCCGGCTGCGCCTCAAGAAGAAGTGCAGCAGCAGGTGGCTGCAATCATGGGCAAGCAAAAGGCACGTGTGGACATGGGCGTGTTGGCCATGGTTTCCGAAATGGATGTTGACAATGCAGATGCCTTTAAGGAACTGAAGAAGCAAGCCATGCAACAGTTTGAGGAGGAGGTGTCCAAGACTGGTGAGAAGCGTGCGGTCAAGAGCATGAAGGATGCACAGGATCGCGCAGAAGCAGAACGGAAGGTAGCAGAGGCTGCCAAGAAGCGTGAAGACAAGCAAGAACAGCAACGACAGGCAGAACGCAAGAAGCAATGGGATTTGACGCCAGCCGATCTCAAGAAACTGCTGCCGGGGGCCGGCACCATCACTTCTACCTTCTGGATGCGATACCAGCCTTTGCAGAAGTTTTGGAAGGTTGAATACCCGATCGGTGCCTTCACTGATTACGGTTGGCTTTTTGGCGGTTATACCCTGAGTTCAGAAAGCCTGCATTCCATAGTCGGAAGGACTTTGAATCTAGTTGTGTCAACTGTGTTGTGTTTGTCCCCGCGATTTCCCCCAGCCCCGTGGCTGAGGCGACCCTCTCGAGAAAGACAGTTGCCAAAGAACCTGGGGCACACAACGTTGCCCAGATCAGCTTTCAGCACTTCGCACAGTCTTAGAGTTTACATACCGGCGATGGAACAGCCGCAATCCGCACAACAAGTTCAATCTGCCACCTGTCCAAGAATTAGATCTGCACAGAGCGAGCAAGTTCATATCATTTGTGTGCGCGTGTGCGTTTGTCAGTCGCACTCTCTCTCTCTCTCCCTCTCTCTCTCTCTATCTCTCTGTCTCTCTCTCTCTCTCTCTCTCTCTCTCTTTCTCTTTTTTTTTTTCTCTCTCTCTCTCTCTCTCTCTCTCTCTCTCTCTCTCTCTCTCTCTCTCTCTCTCTCTCTCTCTCTCTCTCTCTCTCTCTCTCTCTCTCTCTCTCCCCCACTAGCAAAGGCCAACCGATGACGTCTTAAAGACCTACATCGACAGCTTGCCTGCGCCAAGCCGGCGCTGAGTTCAGAACCGCTCGAGACGAAATGAGCGCTTGGGGGTTCGCAAAACAGAGTTTTATTGCTGCTGCCTGGCAAGCCTGTCAGCCAAGCTTGTGATTCAGGTCCGAGTCTTGTCGGCCCGCGACAGTAGGTTTTGAAATGTGTCAGAGTCTTTCAGCGCTCACTCCCCTAGCAGATGGTTGGCACAGACATATCCGCCTCCTGGCCACCGAATTTAGGAATGCACCTACGCATGCTGATCGTTTCATTCAACCCCTACAGAAGCCGGCTAACACTCTCGGGGTGCCCTATGTCCTGGACACGTGATCGCCACAAATAAGCCCTAAATAAGCTTAATTTGACCTTATTCGGTTGTTCCTTGGTGGTGCAAGACAGCCATGATGTGTTGAGGGGGGGGGGAGTAAGGGGGGGGTTAGCTAAGACTTTCATGATGTAAGGGGTTTTCAAGGTCGTAGAGCTGGGTTGCAATTTCCCATCGAAGAAGGGAAAGGGCCTTCCACCCAAGCTCCTTGAGGTAGCACAAAGTGGCACCCAATGGCCCGGCTGCAAGTCGCCACGGTTCCTTGTGCGTCGAAACCCTTTGGGACATCCCTTCAAACGCGTTCTCCAGAGACGGTTGGAGGGCCTGGGGCCAATTGCTAACAAGAGCGACAAAGCTCCGGAAGTGCTGCTCCACCAACAGCCCCGAGGGGTCAGGCTTGGTGGTGCATAGGAGATCCAGGACAACCTCCGTGGCTCCATTCGTGAGCCGACCATTGTGCTGCGCCGTGAGCTGGCGAAGAAATTTCAATCTCTTCGGGGGCAGCCCAACAGCTTGATGACCGTACACGGCAGCAGCTTCAACTCCTGCCTTGGCAGCCTTCTTGCGCGCCCCATCCTTGACGCGAAGGTGGGTGAGTTTCTGTGATCGGCCTCCCGCCTTCTGGAAACGCTGCCTGTGAATTGTCACCCGTCTGCGCTTGCCGCCAGCTGAGTCAACACCAAGATCCCGCCAACAGGACTGGATTTGAGGATCAGCTTCCCCAAGATGGGCGGCAAGTTTCTTTTCAACCTCCCGGCTGGAACAGACCCAAGCCGACTTGGCAATGGAGACGGGAAGCTTGCGCTGGCGAAACTCTTGCTTGACCAGCCGCCAAACCTCCAAAGCCTTGTGCACCACGGTGGTGGCCGAGGCATCCTCAACGTCGAAGCTGGAGTCATCGATGTAAAGGTCGCAGTTGTGGAGGCTGGGGCATTGGTGAAGAGTTTGCATGACGGGATGGAGAACAAGCTTGGATAGGCCCGGCGCGAACGGGCAGCCAGCTATGACACCACGAGTTGGCTTAACTGGTGATGCCAGGACTCCTTCCGTGCAAATGTACCTGGAGTGAGTATAGAGTCTGATGCAATGATGGAGTACCAAAGGGGGAAAGGAGTGCTCCATCGCCGAGTGCACCAGACCTACGAGGTCAACGTGCTCGTAGAATTCACGCAGGTCAAGAAGGAGCGTGACGCCCTTCTTTTTGTGGAAATGGTTAACCTCCCCTCTGATTAGCCTTGCCAAAGCTATATCAAGAGAGGATGCGCCTTGGCGGGCACCATCCCACGGGGCCGTGGCCGCATAGCCGCGGGCCCATTTCTCATAAACCGGCCACCTGGTGCGAGCCCAGATGCGGTAGCCGTAAGAGGTGAGGCCGATCGGCCTTTCCCTCTCAGGTTTCTTGGGGAGCATGGTAACTCCTGTCGTGAGAACCTGAGAAGGCATTTGACCAGTTGCCTCCCAGGTTCGAAGGTGATCCGCAAGCTCGGTAATCTGGGGAACCGTAGCTCGCTTCAGCATGGGAGCGGTAAGACCGTCGAGCCCCGGCGCTTTGCTGGAGAGTTTCTTGAGCACCCTCTGGAGCTCGTCAGTAGAAACCGGGCCGAGCTCCCGATGCTGTGCCACTGCGAGCTCGGAAAGCTGGAGGAAGATCGGGGGCTCCCAGAGACGTTGCCAGTCGGCTCTTCTCTCATGGTGGCGCAGCTCAAGAGGAAGATCCCGGTATGGGCGAACCGTGGTAACCTCAGATTTTCTGAGGGCCCCATAGAGGCCTTTCATACCTCCTTGGGTGGCCTCTTCCAACCAAGTTTTATACCTTTCATTATCGGAGGCTCTTTTGCCCTCGGCCGCGGCCTTTTGTACCTTGGTAAGGTCGGCCAATTCAGCCGGGGTTGGAGCGCTGCCTTCTTGGATCCGGGTTGTGAGGCAAAGCCGTAGGGCTGGCAAGTCAAGGCCCTCAACCTCAAGATCCTCATCAGGGCTGCAAAGGTGGCGGAGCACAACCGGCCGAATCTTCGGGGGAAGGCTATTTTCGGCAGCCTGCTTCATCCAGAGGCCGAGCCGGTCCCACTACCCGACTTTCGCCCGAACCAGGGGAATTTGGGCGAGGTTGGCGGGATAAGAGGCCTGATCTCCGCTTGTACCTTCCAGCCCCTCCCCTGGATGCCATCGGCACAGGTAGTGGCCTCAAGCCACTTGACAAAACCCCCCCAGGAGGTGTCCCCCCGGCGGGAGGTATTCGGTTCCAAGAGAAAGCTTACATTGGTGGGGTCAGGCGGTCTGGCTTCTTCAGTGGCCTGGTCACGACAGAGATTCGAAAAGGACTTGGGTTGAAGCACCAAAGTCCCGAGCGAATCGACCTTGAGTTCGTAGAGAACCAAGGCATGAGGTCGGAAGGGGACCTCCCAGCTAACCTCGGCCTTGAGGAGGCCTTGAAGTTGGCGCGAGCAGACAGCAAAATCAAGCGTCGCCCCATGGGTAGTGGTGGGCTCACCAGGAACCACAAAGGCGGCCTTGCTGAGGCAGGCAAAGGAGGACTCGTGGAGGTCCTGCCAGCCACAATTCCAGTCGCCTGCGATGACCCAGGGACAAGAGAGGGTGTCCAGAGTGGAGAGGAGCTCCGCAAGGATCGCAGGATTGGTTCCTCCTCCCGGTCCCGGGCCGCTCTCGAGGTAGATGTGGCCAATGGCGACGTCTCTCCCAGGAAAACGGAAGATACCAAATTGGAAGCCCTTGCCTTGTAACGAGAACTGGGGTCCATCGCGCATGTTGACGTGGTTCCGGGCCCCGAGAAGGAGCCCTCCGGAGGTACCCTTGCCCGTATCCAGGGCCGGGGAAGGCATTACCCGGTACTTGCCTCGGTCAAAAGCTGTGATCACATTCTGGTTGGCGGCAGCCAGAAGGTGTGTTTCTTGCAGCCCGAAGGCATCAGCATCAAGCTGGGAAACCCATGCTTGTATCTCCGCCCGGTAGGAAGTGATATTGGCCCCAGCAAAGCGGAAAATTCGTTCGCCAGGGTCCGGCGGGGAGGCACAGATGTGGTCAATGGCCCCCACGAGGCCAGCCACATCCTCAACACCTTCTTCAATGCAGCTGACCATACGGTAGGCCGTCCAGTAGGGGAGAGTGTGCTCTGTGAGGCTGGATTCGTGATCCTCAACCCATTGCAGGAGCTGGGCTTGCCTGTGTTGCAGGCCATTCGCCCCTTCTTGGAGAGTGGTCTTGAGAGAAACCCAGCCCTCAAGGTGCTTAGGCCTTTTTTCGGTCTTATGAGGACGGGAAGGAGTCGGGGCGAGGGCTGCAAGTTGCGCCCGACAAAGCCCACAGACCTTGTGTTCAGAGCCAACTCTCCAGTGAGTCACAGGTTCAAACTTTTCTGGTTGTGAAACCTGGGCCCAGTGATCAGAGGCAGCAAACCTCTGCAGCTTGCGCCACCACGGTCTTTTGGTAACCCAAGGCTTAAGCACAGCCTGGGTAGAACACAGGTGGCAGGCGGAAGCCCGGTACCCCTCTGGGCCTATCCCAGCAATCACACCAGCCCTAACCGTCGTGTTGGTCCAAGCCCCCTTGGAGGTCGGCGGGCTGAGAGAGGTGGTCTCGGTGAGGAGCTGGGAGGCTTGTTGTTGGTGCTCTGCAGAGCTGTCCTCCATTGTTTCCTGGGAAGCAAAAGATTGTGGGAAAAACCTCGACCCGGAAAACAGGGGCGGGTGGGGTGGGTTGTTTCGGCACTGGTAACCAAGAGGGCCGCACGGTTTCTGCCTACGGCCCTCCGAACCAGCAGCCTCATCACCATGACCTATGAGAGGCTGGTTCTGTGTGTGCTGCCCTCGAAAATAAGAAGTACATCTTCTCACTGTTTTGGGGCGCTTGGGAAAAAGGAATCCATCATGAGACTGGGAGGCCGAACACGTTGACGTGAGTGGCTCCCAAATCTGCCTGAGGGGCTTCTTGAAAAAGGGGGCATGGGCCAAGCAGAGCGCCCATGAAACTAAGTTGAGAGCAAGCAAGAAACCTGCATGCAAAACGGTGAGAATTGGCAATTGCGTGCCACTGAAGACTTCGGCCCAGGGCGAGCCGAGGCTCCTCTGGGAACCATCAAAAACAGCCACCCAGAGGGCGGCTGCGCCCCCACCGAGTCCCTACTCCTGGCCGTTGTTGGCCTCCTTGGAGCCGTTACGGCTTGTGCGCCGTGGGCTGCGGTCTCGAGGGTTGGAGTTCTCTTCAAGCTCGCCCTCTGGAGGCTCTTTCATGGAAGCATCAGGGGCCTCCTTGGTCGAATCTAGGTCCTCAACCCCTGTCCTCTGATCTTGCTCTGGCTTACCCTGTGGCTGGGAGAGCCGTGGTTTGAAGTCGAAAACCGGGCTGGTGCGTGCAGTGAGTCCTGGGGGCAAGTGGGCCGCCACGGCCTTGTCAAGCACTGCCTGCTGCTCTTTGGTGAACTCAATACCCAAGGCCTTGCCGAAATCCTGAAAGGAAGCGACTTCCCCAATGGGAGGCGGGGAGGCCTGGGTGGGATCAGACTGCTCCAGAGCTTCGGTGAGCTTGGATTGGGCATCGTCGATGGCCTGCTTGGCCTCTTCCATTAGCTTGTCTACCTCCTGAAGCTCGTCCAACATAGCCTTTAGGTCTTCCTTGGCTTGGTTGACTGAGGCTTGGAGGTCCAACTTCTTCCTGGCCAACTGGCGGTAGCGGTGCGAGGCTTTGGTGAGCGCGTTGGAGGAGTGCTGGCCCTCCTGGTAAGGAGTGGCCGATGGGGCTTCTTCAAGGGAGTCCAACAGGAGCTGGATATCCTCTGGGAGTTCCCCTTTCCTACTGCGCAGCTTGTCAAGCAGGGAGGTTTCCTGTGGTGGCTGTGGCCTGGGCTTGAACCCAGCAGCCTGGAAGGCCTCCTTGGTGGCGTCGCCTAGCTCCGCCCACTTGGAATGGAGGAGGCGTAGGAAGTGACGGCTGTTGCCCTCTTCGCGTCCCCATCTCCTGCTTTCCGGCGGTGTGGGTTGCGAGGGAGGGGTGACCGGTCCCTTGGGCTTAGGGGGCTGTGGCCACTGTCTGCCGCACCCACTGCACTTGGGAGTCTTCGCCACCGCGTCACCAGTTATGGCAGTCTTTGCCCTTGCACACGTGGTACGCTTTGCCCCATTGCTTGCCCTTTCCTTTAGCCATCCTTGGACCGGGAAGACCCTGGTCACGGATTGGGGCTGCCCAACCGAGTTGGGGACCCAAGCCCGGACTGGCTGACCAAGTCCTGAGGCTGGGAAGGGCACCCAAATCACCAGCTCGGTTAGACCGAAGCTGGGATAGGGTTGGGACTGGAAAACCAAGTCCTCGGCTCTATGGCAAAAGAAACTACACCTGGGGTTCAGAGAGAAGGCCTCAGTGCCCAGTTAGACAGCTACCTTCGCGCCGGAGCACCCCACTTATTGTGGAGCTCGAGCCGAAATGGCGAGGGCTGGGGCCTTGCAGGGACCCAGAGACCTTTCCCCTTGGGTACTTGGTCTTGGGTGCCCTGCGCCCCTAGCCCTGGTTTAGGTCCTGGCCTTTCGGAGCTTTCCCTGCTGGAAAATTTCCAGCGGGTGGAGCTCCCACGTCTGGCCTGGGACAAGCGGGTGAGGGCCACCCTGCTTCAGCACGTACTGGCAGATGTGACCCTCCGGCGAGATCCCTAGTGCTTGCGTCGGAGTCGACACCAGTGCCTCCAGGACATCATCCATTTCTCCCTTGTTCAGGGTCCTCCCCATCAGGTTGTAGATACCCTGGGTCAGGGCCTGGAGATCGGCCTGGTTTTGCTTCACCAGAGCGAACAAAGGATCCAGGAGATCCGGCGCGAAGGAGCCCACCGTGGACCAGAATCCCTGGGCTCTGCGCTTGTTAGGCCAGTGGGGGGTGGTTTGGGAACCATACTCCTCCCAGTCATTGGCGTCGAGCAGCAGGACCTCATACCTGGGCGGGTCCCCCATGCCCTGTGGCATGGACCTGCTGCCCATATTTTTCCGCCCTAAGTCGCGGATGTTGGCAAACTTCGCTGCTTGGCACACCGTCAGGCTGATCTGGAAGATCAGCGGCGGATTGCCCATGGGGAGAGGATCCACGAGTTCCGTCTCCAAAAGGGACGCGAAGAAAGAGGTGCCGCCCTTGCCCTCCTCGACAACACGGTGCACTCCCAAAGCCCTGGTGTGCCGCGGGGTCCAGGGGCCGGTGACTTTGAACAAGTCACGCTCTGCCTCCTGCGACCTTTTGGAGAGCTTCCAGCACTGGAAGGCGAGCGGAAGACCACTCGTGAACCCCCTAAGCCAAGCACTTCCAGGGCCGTGGCAACCTTCTGCGGGGAGCCTGGCTCCGCTCCCTTGCGAAGTACACCAAAGACGCAGCGTGCAGGTAGCGCCCTGAGCACGCCTCCTTGGAGGCATCCTTCAGTTGGATGGTGAACTGCATGCTCACCCCCAAGTCCGGCACTGGTAGCGCCCTCCTCAGAGGACTGGAGAGAGGAGCAGGGCGCAGCCGGATGGGCTCATAGCAGGAGTCCGAAGACTCTTCCTTAGCAGCCACAGACCCTGCCGGGGATTCTTGATCGCCTTCAGCAGAGGCCGGGGAGTCCTTTTCCTTGGCTGTGGGTGCCCTCTTTTCCTCAGGCGGGGGAACCCCTGCCTGGGAGCTGGAGGGGGCCCGAAGCCACCTCAGCCTCAGGAGGGGGCTTGGCCTTTGACTTGACAGCCATTTTGCCACTTGACCGGGCCGGGGCCTTAACAGGCTTGGCCTTGTTGCCCCTTCCCTGTTCCTTGTTCCTGCCTCGGGGCGATCTAGAGCGGGAAGAAGAGTAGTAGGAGTAAGAGGCAGCACTTTCATCATCTGCCTCCTTTCGCCCGCCGCGGCCCGGGGCCGGTGGTGGGGGCGGGGTATCGTGGTGCTGGGCTGGCTCAGCTGGCAGGGGTCGCGACCACCTGTAGTACTGGCCAGCTGCCCGTTGCTTCTTTCCCGCCCGCCGCTGGGAGTACTCCCTAGAGCTCTTCGACCTGTGCTTTTTGCCACCCTCCTTTTCTGGGGTTCCTGTGCCACCCTTGCTGTGTGCAGCCGGGTTTTGAGAGTGACTTTTTCCTCCGCCGGGGTTTGATCCTTTCTGGTCTTTGCCCTTGGGTCGGGTGGAACCCTTGCCTTTGGCTGGGCTAGAACCCTTGCCTTTAGTCGGGGTCTTCCCCTTGCTGCGACCCCTGTCTGGGTCCCTGTCCCTAGCCGGTTCACTGCCCCGGGGGGGCTCGGCTGGGCTGTGCCTTTCCATGCTGGCTACCCTCTGTGAACCAAAAGGCTGCGGAGGCAAGGAGAGAAAACAGCACAGCAGGGACCGGGGCCGGGCGCAGGCGCCTACAAGGGGGAAAAATTAGTAAAAGGTTGTTTCTAGGGTTCCCCCACCACCCCCTATATAGGACCCTATACTGTTTTTTAACTTGTCTATCTCATTCGTTATCGTTTTTGTTGTATCCTCATAGAAAATCTTTATGTAGTTTTGGGGTAACTTTTGAATTATTATTATTACATACAACTTATGATGGTTTATTATCATAAGGTTTTGTCTAAGTTTTGTCTCTTACCCTATCCCAATACTTTATGCTATCTTACATCATAATCTTAGGCATAAGTTTCCTTCCTTAGTCGGTTTAAGTCGGGGTATTATGTATAATATTATGTCTAGGTTTCTGCGGTGGCTTTTGTCTACATTTATAATAATATTTTATATCAATATTATTATGAATGCATAATTGTATACAAGTTTGCTAGACCTTTAGGTTCTGTTATGTTTGTTTCATCATCTAAATCTTCAACAAGTTTATCTTTTATTAATTCATGTTCGTCTAATGTTTCATTTTTAATAAGTTGTAATGGTTTTGAGTTAATAACTTGCAACTTGTTTGTTTGATTATGGTATTCTTCATTTTTGTATTTCTCAACTGCTTTATCAATGTCAATAGTAAAGTTATACTTTTCATTATCAAGCATTTTTAAACGATGAAGAAGATGATATATAAAGTGTTTATTATATGTTTCTTTGTCTTGTTCATAAAAAGTTGTTGTTAATCTATACAATATTTCCTGAAATAATGTTTTACACATATGGTTAATTTTCTTATAAGCAAATGTTCTATTATATATTTGTTCATCAATTATTGAACGTAATTTATTTTCATCATAAATATTTTCATACAGTGATTTTAATATGTCTAGTTGTTTAGGTTCTTTCAAAATAAACTTAACCAAGCAATAGTAATCCATTCTTTTACAGTTATATAAAATTTTATTCGTTCCACTTATATAACTCATGCCCGATTTTGATATTATAATGTCAACTTCTTTTTTCAACTTTGGAAATGGGTTTTTCTCTGTCAAGGCTTTTAAGTCTCTCTGCTCAGTTTCACTCATCGTGCTCTTACTATACTAAGGCTCCATTTCTTTAAGTGTCCTCCGCCCCGCTACCATCCTGCCTAGGGTCTATAATAATTTTCGTCTTCTTCTTTATCAAATATGTCATTTAAATGTTCTTGAACTCTAGGTTTTTTGTCTAAATTTATAATAATATTATATATCAATATTATTATGAATGCTTTAATTTTCATCTTCTTCTTTATCAAATATGTCATTTAAATGTTTTTGCAGTTCATCAAGATTTAAATACTTAATATCATTACCTATAAAATTAACAAGAAACTCATACATAATGTTTTTAAACAATAGTTTATCCGGGTATGATTTCCTGTAATAGTCATAATGTAATATTAAAATATTTTCACGTCTAGTAACATGTTTCATTGTTTCCTTATTATGAAGAAAAGATAGTATCAAATCAAACTTATCAAAAAACCTTGTTCGTCTGTTCTTAATGAAAGATATAATTACTTTCTTATAAGGGTTATCACTTTTCATAAACATATTTACTAACTTTTGTTTTTTCGTTTCTCTATCATCATAAACGAAATATACATCAAAATTGTCTCTTTCTTTTAATATATAAAGTTGCTTTTCAAAATTTGTTAGTACACCTTTATCATGTATATCAAATGGGTAATCATATTCTAAGTTGATAAGACGATTACAACTATCACAACAGTTAAAAGACTGTATAATACTTCCTATTTCTTCTGGTAATATTTTATTTAATGTTTCCTTGTTATGATGTTTTCGCATATGCTTACACTGTTGGCACTTGCTATAATCAAATATGGTCATTTTCCCTACTATTCTAGGGCGTTTTTTCTTTAAGTATGGTTCGTATCAATGCATAAAGAAATGGCATTATTATTTATATAGGGTTATGAACAAATATCAAAATGGAAAGATTTATAAAATTATTGATAACGATTATAATAAATGCTATATCGGTAGCACTTGTGAAAGTTTAAACAAAAGAATGGGACGACACAAACGTGAATATAAACAATATTGTAGTGAAGATAGTAAAAAAGCATCATTTCCACGTTCAATGTTATTATTTGATGAATACGGAATTGAAAATTGTAAAATTGAACTTATTGAAGATTATCCCACAAACAGCAGGAAAGAGTTATTAAAACGAGAAGGGTTTTTTATTAAAAATACAGACTGTGTAAATAAGATTATATCAGGTAGAACTAAAAAGGAATATTATGATGATACTAAAGAACATCATTTAGAACAAAAAAAGCAACATCGTTTAAATAATATTGAAAAATACAGACTGAAAGATAAAACTTATTTAGAAAAGAACAGAGAACAAATCAACGCCAGACAGCGACAAGCATATCAGAAAAATCGTGATGAAAGAATAAAAGCATTACGTAAATACAATGAAGAACATAGGGAACAAATAAGACAACAACAGAGAGAACACTACGAACAAAATAAGGAGGAGATTAACCGCAGGAGGAGAGAGCGACGCCTTATTTCTCAACAAGCAGTAACTCATGACGCATGAAACGTTTCTTATGGTTTTCAACTAAATAATATGTATTTAGTTGAACATCACGATTTACTTCTTTGACTTCATATGCTTTGTCAGACCATTTTGAACGAGACTCTTTGAAACTGCTATAATTACCACCGCTTTTTGTATAAATTTTAACTTTATCACCTTCATTAATCTTAGGGTATTTCCTTAGGTATTTTTCTTTCATAACTGAATTAGCTTTGACAGTCAAAAAATTGTCATCACGGTGAGCCTCATTAGGCGTAAGACCAGTCGTTGAGTGAACCATTTGTTTATTATATTTGTCTAAGACAGGTTTTAACATTATTGTCCAAGCTCCTTGTTTATGAACTTGTAACCTATCACTTATCATTTTCTTTAATGTGCGTATTTGCCTCTCTGCCACTGACGCATGTGTTAGTGTGACATTATGTATAATTCCGTTATCTTTCAAATATGTTTGTAATATTTTATCATTAAGTGCCCCTTCATCATCACTATAAACTGATTGAGGATAACCCATTACCTTAAAACATTCCTTTAAGGCATTTAATACAGTTGGTCCGTCTTTATTTTGCATTGGAACTACATGACATTTTTTACTAAAGTTATCAATACAAACAAAACCATATAATGGATATTCTTTTTTATAAGTGTTTGTATCCTTCATTAGACTAATCATATTCATCAAATCAACAGAATAAATTGCACGAGCAAAAGGAGCAGAAAAACTATTATATTGTTTATAACCGCTTCTTTGTTTTACTGATTGATTTTTTAACCATTCTTTAACTTCTTCTTGTGTGATTACCATACCTGCTTTTATTGCATCATCATATAAACTCTTAGCGCTACCGAAACCCCGCTCAATATCAAAATATAACTCAGATAATTTTGCTTCTTTACTCATCAATTAATATTATTTAGAAATTAAATAATATCAATTCCATAATAAAACTTTGTTTGTTATTTTATCAATTAGTTCTTTTTCTAACTTATCTTCATAATTTCTTATACATCTCTTTGTTTTTTGATGCTTTGATTTATTGGTTCCGCTACTTATCATTCTTCCACATTTTTCACACTCATAACATCTGTCATTGCTTTTATAATATTCTTTAAAATATCCTCGTTCTTTATTAAGCTTATTATGCTTATCATTTGATAACTTTTTATTTCGCTTTCTTTTCTCTTCATTGTTGGTTTCTTCTTCTTCTGGTTCTTCTATTGAGTTCCATAAGACATCAAATAAGTCATCATCAATGTCTATTTTATTTCCATTGCCCATTACTAAGCATGTCATAACTATCTTATATATTAATGCTAGGTTTTCTTTAAGTATGTTTTTTTTAACTTCTTATTGACCTAGCGCTTCCTCTGGAACTTCTGCTTCTAATGTATTCTATTGTTTCTTGACTTCTGCGAGAACTAACAACACTAATAGGCGGTGTTGCTTCATCTACATATTCAATAGTTCTATCACTAGGAACGGAACTTTGCAATGTTTCAACAGGTGAGGAATTAATGTATTCACTTAATGCTTCTTCTTCAACAGGAATTAAAACACTTCTGTTTGAACTTCTTCTAGAACTTGAAGAAGATGATGAAGGCTCATAAGATTTCTTAACATTCATAGGTAAACTATTATTGCTCTCTTCACTTTGTTGTTTCTCTATAGATGGTTCACTTGTTATTTCTTCTTCTTCTATTTGCTCTATCCTATTTCTCATTTCTTCTCTTTCTTCTTCAAACTCATCTTCTCCAAACATAGCATCATAAACTCTCCTCATTACTGATTTATTTTGAGTTTTTTCTCTTTCTTGTTCTTGTTCTTTCTCATTACTTTTTATAGTGTCATTGCTTTCATCGGTTTGTATCTGTTTAACTTCTTCTTCTTCTGGTGTTTTCATACTTTCTGTTATACTTGGTGTTTCATTAAATCTATCTGTTTGTGTTCCTTTATCTGGATTATCATTAAGTATTATTGTCTTTTTATTATATTTATCTAAATCAAAATCATCAAAATTAACATCATTTAATAATATTCCTTGTTGTGTTCTTCGTTCCCTCTCCAGTAATATTTTTAATCTTCGTGTTCTTGCTTCCCTTTCAATTTGTTCAAATGTTGGCTTTAAGCGTAGCATATATTAAACATATATATTTTATACTGGTAAAAATGATTTTGCTAAAGCCGTTGCTCCAGCTTTTGCTAAAGTTTCAACTCCCGCTTTTGCTCCAGCTACTGCTATATCTCTTAAAGGTGTTGATGATGTGGATTGTGAAGGCAGTAATTGTCCAACTCCACTTGATGAAGATGATGAACCCGCCGACGGTTCAACAACTTT